TTTGAGCACAGCCTGAAGGTTTAGCGTGAAGGGTTTCAGGGTTTTGAGGCTTGGAAGCCTGAAAGTGCTTTTTAGGCGCCTGCAAAACGCATTTTGAGCACAGGGTTTGGTGCAGGGTAAACGGGTTCGGGGTCATAGGGTTTAGGGCTTTTAAGCTTCTGGCTTAGAGGGTTGTCGCTGCGTGACAAATGCGTTTTTCGAAGCCCCCATATAAGCAACGCGTAAGCAACTTAGCCAGCGATTTGGATCTTCTATTCGCAGCATAGAACCTAAATCGTGCGATTTGCGATTTGGGCACATGTCCAAAAGCAAAAACAAGGCGATTTGGGGGTTGCGTATCCAAATCGCTAGCGCTTTGCGATTTGCGATTTATCAGGCCTTCATCAGAGAGGGCGCCGCCTGAGAGTCGGCTAGTCTGGGCCCATTGCTCGGGGCTTTTTCCACTCATTTTGTAGGGCGCACCCCGGGATCTTTTCCGACCAGCACGGCCTTGGGCAGCGACGGTAAAACACTCCCGTAGGGCTCGAGGTTCTGCATGCCTTAGGTCTGCCTTTGCTGTTGGTGCGCAGGCTTACTTGCATATGTGTGACGGGTTGCTGCCCAACTATGCCGCGGCATACCGGTTTTCTCAAGCTCGCCACCTGCTTGCGACATACGTCGTTCGCGCATCCGCTTTGGCCCAGCCGCTTCTTTGTTATGGCCAATATCATGCCGCCACTGTGGAAGCGCTTGGATGCTAACATCAACGTCCGTTATGGCGACCTGTGTCACTACGATTTGTCAGCCGATCCCGACTATCAAGTGACTGCCAGTGACATCGACCTGGTCCTGGTGGCGGCGGCCGGCATGCAGGCCAACTTGGTTGTCCTTGAACAGTATATCACAACTGGCAGGAACCGGCCAATATGACCGTGCGTGTGTGGTTCAAGCGGGTGGAGAGCGTCGCTGACCAGATTGCCCGCCATCTTGACAGGGATGCGAGCGGCCGCCAGGGATACCAAACCTTCTATCTTGGATAGTGTGTTACGGCCCTGGCGCCCCAGGAGTGACGTCACCTGACGGGTTTTTGTACAATTAGGGACCGGTTTTTACTTCAATGCCTGGGGGCACGGCCACAGGCTGCCATAGTCCCACAACCTGCTTAATGAACGCGACGCAGCAAAACAAAGGCCATCACGCGTTGCGGTTTTTGTTTGCGATCTCTCTGCCAGGGTACCAGTGACCGCGCTTGCGTACATGTGTTTGGGCTCAGTCAGCGACATACGTCGCTGGCCAGTTGAACTAGGTACCGTGAAAGGACGGGTGTTAGTCCCCAGTGCCATGGAGGTGGAGCTTTTCCCTACGCGCTATGTGCTTGGGGGAATTGGCACGGACGCTCATCAGCCGTTGTCCCTCCCTGTTGCGTCCCTTCACCATGCAGTCGCATGCCTAAGGTACGTGCACCTGCAAATGTACGAGGGTTACCTACTGGTTCAGGTGCTCTCGGACTTCGATGGAGGTAGGGAATGCCGCGACACGCCGGCACCCTGGAACTTCACCTTGCATGGAGCCCCGCATCATGATGGAGGTGCTCCATTTTCGCTCGTAGGATACTTGGTTACCATTGCGGAGAGGTTCGCCTACATGGCCCGCCACCCGGAGTTGCCGGTGGTTGTTTGCTCGCATAGCCAGGATGCTGGCTTGCGGATGGTGGACCTCCTTGCCGGGCGCTTGAGCGCCCGAATGGCCAGACGCGCGCCGCTTGATGAGCATAACGGGGAAGTCAGCTCTATCTTTGGATTTCAGGAGCTGCCGATGAGAGCGGACCTACAACCTTTTGCACAGCTGCCAGGCGAGCCTCGAACCTACACTCCAACGGTTCCGGTCAATTTGGGTAAGCTTGCGCAGTATGCAGTGTGGCTTTGTACTGACCCTGCGGTCGTCCGCTGCCACTGCTTGTGGTTGTTCACGGACACCGATGCCCTCGAGGAATATGACCACATGCGCCATACCCTGCCGCGCATTATCAACCGCTGTCTGTGGACAGGCCGTCACGGTGAGCGTCATGCCTGTGTCTTTTTTCCACTCCGCAAGGAGTCTGGGCTGGATAGAGCGGTGGTTTGGTGGGGTAAGGTTTATGCATTGTGGGTCTTGAGGGCTCTGCTCCCCGGTAAACATATCATACTATCGGAACATGATGCTGCTCCCACCGCACTTTTCGAGGTGGCCGACCTGCAGGATCTGTGCGTGGACGCCCGGGACGTGCAGGCGTCATCTGATACGCTCATCCCGGCGCCGGATGACTCCCTGTGGAGATTCGCTCCAACCGTGCCAACCCAGGGCTCCACATGTTCCCATCGGTCCAGGGAGAGTGTCGGTGTCATCTTTGTCACGGAGCCCTCTACCGACGCCCAGGGGGGCTTTGCCGTTTTTGCCAAGGAGCACGGCTGTCGTCATACTGACGTAAGCCTTTTGCCACATCGCTTGCGTGGTCCCGAGGCCTGGCAGGCTTACGTGGATGCTTGTGAGTCTGAGGAGGATGTGGGACCAGTGCGAGCCCACCAGTTGTATCGGCAGCTCTGTTCGTCGCCGCGAGAGTTGGAGGAGTGGGCAGCGGAGGTCGTCCCATTTTTACTGTCGAAGCTTGCCCATCTTGTCACCTTGCCACGACGGCAACCCTTCGAGCGAAGAACTGCAGAGCTTTTGGCCGGTACTCCCCTTTTTGGAACGCAGGCAAGGCACAGTGGAGATGTGGTCACTGCATGGGCATACCTCGGCGCTGTGCTACAGGCGCCCTACTGGTACCCCATTGAGGAAGGTGCCTTTGATGCCAGTATGAAAACACCTAACCCTGACGACGCCTTGCGCCATGCCCTGCACCCCCATGACTTGCCTTTGCTCAGCGGAATTTTGGAATTTTTTTTGGCTTGTTTTTACAAAAGTCTTAAAATGAATTGATTTCCGAGACACATAAATAAACATCGTGGCCCGAAAAGTTATTTTCGGTTCTCGGGGGCCATGGGTGTCGTTTGTTGTGGTGGTTGTTGTTGTTGTCGTTGTGTTGTCATTGTCTTTGCTGCCTCTGATGTTGCTGTTGTTTATGGCGTCATTGTGGTCGTGTGGATGTTGCAGTTGCTGCTGCTGCTGCTCTTATTTTTTGTTTGTGTGTGATTGCTTATTGTGGTAATTATTGTCGCTTATGCAATTATTGCCATTGATAATGCTATTGCCACTGGTAGTATTGTTATTGATATTGGTATGAACTACTATTACTGTTGTTGCTGCTGTTGCTGTTGCTATTCTTGCTGTTGTTGTGGTTGTTGATGTTGTTGCTGTTGTTGCTGCTGTTGTTATTGCTGTTGCTCTGGTTGTGGTGGTGGGTGTTCTTGTCATTGTCGTTATTGTTGTCGTTGTTGTTGTTGCTGTTGATGTTGTCGTTGTTGTTGTTGTTGTTGTTGCGGCTGTTGGTTCTATTGTTGGCTCTGCTGCTGGCGCTGTTGTTGTTGATGTTGTCGTTGTTGCCGTTGCTGGTGTTGTTGGCGTCAACATTGTTGCTGGCGCAGTTGCTGTTGCTTTCAATGCTGTTGTTGTTGTTGCAGTTGCTGTTGCTGCTGCTGCTTATTACTACTGCTACTGCTACTGCTTCTGCTACCGCTACTGCTGCTGCTGCTGCTACTGCTGGTGTTGTTGTTGTTGCTGTTGACGGCAACCCTAAACCCTCTTCACGGACTTTAGTGAACAAAGTTCATAAGCTCTACAAGCTTTCCCCGAGAGTGTGACATCCACTCACCGAGAAATGAAAATACCTTGAACATGATTTTAACCTGCATTCAGCCACATGCGAACTTGAACTGCTCGTAATCAACAATAAGTTTCCGTACGTGCAGACCAAGGATGATTGAGCAGCTCATGAAGGGAAGAATAAGCGGTGAGTTGAAAAGTATGCCTTCAACATCATGGGTCTGTCTGAAAGAAAACATATCCTATCCAAAACCACCTGGGGTTGAGAGACGCCTGAGCCCAGAGTCACTTTTTCTCAGCCAAGCGCTCACAAGACCACAGGCTCCCGAGGCTATAAATCTCAAACCGGAGTTTAGGCTCAGTTTAAGGGTCAGGGCTCAGGGATTTCTGTGAATCAAATTAGAACTTAACTTTGAGAATGTGTGTGAACCGAACATGCGTTGAGGAACTGAAGCCTGCGGGAAGGTTGAAAGTAAAACTGGTAGGATTGATGGCCGAAGCAGCCCTTAAAAGACTGATGGCCGAAGCAGCCTGCGAAGCCGAAGCAGCCTCGCACCTGGCGGAAGCAGCCTGCGAAGCCGAAGCAGCCTCGCACCTGGCCGAAGCAGCCGAAGCAGCATGCAGCTGCTCACGTAGCGAGAGGATCCCAGACGTCGTCGTCGTCGTCTTCCTCTGGTTCTTCGTCCTCTGCTTCTTCCGCGTCATCGTCTGCGGGTTCTTGATCCGCATCCTTTTCGGCTTTCTTCTTTGCTTTAGCCTTCTTCTTTGGCTTAGCCTTGGGATCAGCCTCCTGCTCCTCAGCCTTGCGCTTGGGAGTAGCTTTTGTTTTGGGCTTCTTTTTGGGATCTGCATCAGGTGCTGGAGTTGCTTTGGCCTTGGGAACCTTTTTGCCCACCGCCGCTGCGTATTCCGAATTGAAGAGCGGACTTGCTGTGTCACACATCTCCAGCTTCATCAAGTCAAGCAGGTGCTCTTCCAAGAATTGGCTGTGTTCAGGGGTGAAGGTTATTCCCATGTAGCCCACCCTGGCCTTCAGCGCTTCGAAAGCGAATCGGCCGTCGCCTGGCGTTAGGTCGATGACCATCTTCGCCCAAAAGGAGTGCATGAGCTCTGAATAAAATGCCCCAGGCATAGAATGAAAGCAAACTGGTTCGGGCTTGTTGCCCAGGCGATCCATGTCTGATTTTTCTGTTTCTTCTGTGGTTTCAGTCTTTCCCCCAACGGCGATCAAATGTTTTTTCCCGTAAAGGGTCTTCTTCTGTTGCCATGGGAGGCACCACTCAGTGGACAGTTTCGGCAGGTCCACTCCTGAGATGAGGTCGCCTGTGCTTGACCCCGGCCCGTAATGCTTGCGCTCCCTGGCCGGAAGAGAGAGCCTCTTGGAAGACAGCACGTGCGCCCACTCAATCTGTTTGATCGTGCATGTGCCTCGTTTTTTTTGGCGTCGGGCGTTTAGGCTCGCTTCGGTGTAGCCAATCTGCAGCAAGTCACAGACCAGGTTCGGCCGTGCGTCTTCCTCCTCCTCGCAGTCGTCGTCATCCCCGTCGCCATCATCTTCATCCTCGTCTTCTTTAGTAGACCCTTTCGCCTTGGCTTCTTTGCGGGTGCCGTCTTTCCAAGGGTTGATAAGCTTTTGCTTGGCGCCCTTCTTGAAGCCGTCCAGCAACACTGCGACTTCGCCTGGCTGCAAAGCCGCTGCTGAGCCTTCGCTCTGCCTGGCCGTCATGACGGCACGGACGAGGCGTGTGTACGGTCCATCCCGAAGGGGCGGTAGACGAAGGTCTGGCCTGGTCGCAGACTCACCGAACTTTTTCACATCGAAGTGTAACAGCACCAGACCCGTCGGGTCCCCCTTGAGTTTCGAAAACGGGCAGTCGCGGATGGCTTGTTCAAGGTCGGAAGCGGCTTTGTGGTCGGACACGAAGCGAACTTGACTGCGAAGAGTCTTGAGCATGAACTGCCTCCATTGTTGTTGTTCGTCTTTCGTGAGTTTGGCCTCTTCTGCGGCCGAAGCAGCCGAACCAGTGCCCGTCGACGATGCTGGGGCATCGCCAGACCCTGCCGGAGCAGCCGGGACTTCAAACAGAACTTCGGCGGGCTTAGACTCCTTTCTCAAGGCTGCCTCGATATCCTCTATTTTTTCTTGATGCTGGGATAACCGAGCACGTCAGCGCATTCATGCTTCGATTTCAGCGCATCCCTGTACCGGCCATCAAAAGTGTCAAGGTACACTAGCTGTTCCAGCAGTTCTGCTGCCAGAACAACTGAGTCTTTTGCGCCCAAGATCCAGGCCGTATCAGGCTGAGTTTCTTCTTTGTATGGGCTGTACTTGCTTCGTACGTGAGTGAAGCTGCTGAAAGCTGACCGCAGGTCTTCTTTGGTTTTGCCCGGAAACGTGCTTCCAGTGAGCCATTCCTCGAGCAAGTGGTTCTTCACGGCCAGCTTGAGCTTCAAGATTTCCACGTAGCCTGATTATCGCAAGTTATGGCAAAATTTAAGTTACCATATTTTTTGCATCCAGATGATTATAATGATATTTATTACTATAAAAGCAAACTACTTGAAAATGAGCCCAGAAAATTTGATCACGAAGGTCCGAGACACTGTTCCGAGCGTCTCGCAGCTTGCTCACGGCGAAGAAGCCTGGCTCGACGAAGCCTTTGCGAAAACCATCTATCATTCCTTCCACTGCCCAAGTGATGTGCTGTGGGGTCTGTGCCTTGTCAATGATGGCTTGGAAAGCATAGATGCTGGACAGTGGGTTGCCCTTCAAGTACTGGGCATCCAGCTCCTCCAGCAAAACACTGCAAGCTGGAATACTCAGCAGTCTGTCGTGCACGGTTATGGCGCTGTCCACGAATGATTCCGAGATGATCTCGGAGCCAGCCGAAGCTTTCAGGTGCTTCTGATAGGCACTGGCCACGGCGGCAGCCCCCAGTGTAGTTTTCAGGGCAGCCTCCTTGCTGGCTTTGAAGCCTGCTACGTCGTAGATCCGCTGCCGCACCGAAAGCCGAACAGTGATGCCACGCTCAACCATTTCCTCCCGTAGGTTTTGAGCACGCCAAAATCTTGCTTCACCCTGTGGGACGAGCTCAAAGCGAAACGGTGTGGTGAGCAGCAGTTCTTTCCATCGACGAAGAATAGGTTCAGGTGCCTTTGCGGAGATAGCCTCGTGGATGGAAAACAACAGAGCATGGCAGGGCTCGGCCGGAGACAGCCGCTGAAAGCTGCCTTTCTTGTGAAATTCTTCGTCACAGGCGGCCGAAACAGCCGCAACGACTTCATACGTGAATTCTTTCGGTGGATCCATGGGCGGCAGGTAAAAGCGCTGGATTTCCTGCACCTGCCCTTTGTTGATCGGAACCCGATGGTTTGCCATCCAGACTTGATCGCACCAAAAGAAGTTCCCGCCGCAGGAGTAGTGGGCTGTGGCATCCCTCTGGAAGACCTTGACAGCTTGGCCGATCGCGAAAGGCTCTTGATGCCCGCCCTGAGCAATCGTGAGCGGTTCTGCCGCATCGATCCCGTCAAAAACAGAACAGTCGCGGATCGCTTTAAGGGCCTCGTGCACGCGGATCAAGTGTTCCGCGCACAGGTTGCCCTGAGAATTGTCCGCCCAGGCCGAATCAGCCATGGCCGTCACTCCTTCAATTGACTTGGCCTTTGCCTTTGCCTTTGCCTTTTCCTTGGGGTTTTTTTTCGGTGGCATTCCCACCTCAGCTGGCCACACTGGCCGTGTCAGCCAGGCTACAACCTTCTTTGTTTTGTCAGTTATGGCCGCTGCAGCCAGGAGTGGCCGAGGCAGCCAGAAGTGTGTTTGCTTTGCAACTTGAGTTGTAACAGCTGCGGGTGGTTCTGATTCAGCATGCGTGGCTTAAAAAAAAATTGGGTTCTAGGGCTGTGAAACTGTTGGCTTTGGCTTTAGGGGTTGTAGGGTCTGAGGGCACTTTGAAGGGCTAAGCAATGCTTCGCGAAACTATAATTAAGTCCTAAGTATGTTTTAGGGAAGCTTTTTCTTTCGTAAGTTTTTGGGGTTTAGGGTTTAGAATGGTTTAGAGTTTCGGGAAACTCTAGGGCCTGGGGAAACTTAATTAGGGAATAAGGGGTTTAGGGAAGGGTTTGGGTTTTGGGTTTTAACTTCGGGCTTAAACTTAAATACCCTAAACTAAATACCCTTAAATCCTAAACCACGAAGCCGAACGAAGGCTGTCTTTTTCACTCTAGCGGCGGCCGTGCTGTTCGCACCTGTAGTTCTTGTCCCAAGACTGCCACATCTCGCAGCATGCTCGGCAGAGTATTCCGGGACAGTAGGCGCCGGGTTGTTTTTTTTTGCAGTGTTTGCAATAACTGCAGGGTGTGATTCGAGGTCCTGGAGGACGGCCCCCCTTTTCGCGGTACTGTTGGGCCCGCTCTCTCTTGCGTCGCATCCACTCCGAGTCGGGGTTTCGGCCCTGCCAGGACGTGAAGGAAGCCTCTTGTGGACGCTGCGACGACGAGGCTGACGCTTGAGCCGCGGCTGCCTCGGCTCTCTCAGCCATCATGGTGGTTCTCTCAGCCAGATCCCGCATCTCGTCTCTGAGAGCGCGCCTCTCAGTTTCTGGGTTCGGCTTGAGGTTTACGGCCGAAGCAGCCGGCTTTTTATCATAATATTTATCATCATGTTTATGCTTTTTCTCCCGCTTATCCTTCTTCTCTTTTTTTTCTTTCTTTGCGTCCTCTTCGGCCGAAGCAGCCGCGATGTCGTCCTTTTCGGCCGAAGCAGCCGCTCTGTCGTCCTTTTCGGCCGGAGCAGCCGCTCTGTCGTCCTTTTCGGCCGGAGCAGCCGCTCTGTCGTCCTTTTCGGCCGGAGCAGCCGCTCTGTCGTCTTCGTCGGCCGAAGCAGCCGCTTTTGTTTCCCCTTTAACTACGCGGACAGACAGCTCCGACGACGAGGACGACGCGGACGGGGCGGCGGGCTTGTCGTCTGAGTCGCTGTAGTACTCGTACGAGTACTCGTCGTCAGGTTTTTTCTTTTTTGCCGAAGCAGCCGTCGTCTCTAGTTTCGTTTTTTTCCTTGGAAGCTCCTCGGCCGGTTCAGCCGTTACTTCCTTCTTTTGCTTTGCGGCCGGAGCAGCCGCGGGCTGTGGCTCACACATTTGAAACCATCTCTTTGTCGTGGCTTCGTTGTGCCAGCGATTGGGAGGACCGATTTGGCCAAGCTCCTCCCAGCCTGACACGTCCAAGGCACAGAAGCGAGCCACGTCAAGCCAAGACGTGGTACGGGTGACTCGGTTTTGGACCCAATTGTCCCACTTGTGTTGGGTGTTCCTGTAGCCTTTCTCAGAGAACAGGATCAGCGGCTTCACGTCGTGCAAAATGTCATGGCAGCACACACCGATGTGATACAAACAGTCGGACTGGTCGTCCACAGCTACGGCGCACCCCAGCTCACGAGCTTTCGGCCCCTTGTCCTTCCTGTCGGTAACCAAGTGGACCTGGTTCTCGGAGAGACCGAGTGACTCGCAGAAGCGAACCACCCAGTGCTTCTTGCTGGAGGGGAAGTTGACACGGCTGATCACCTGGAGCTCATTGCTGCCATACTGCTTCATGAACTTCTGGCAGAAGGCATATGCTCCAGGAATCGCGGACTTGTAAATATCGTCGCCATCGTACTTTTCTTGACCGTACTGGCTGGGCACGGACAAAACACCTCCACAGTCCAGCACGAGGCGCTCATTTATCATCTGAGCCGCATCACCAGACATGGCCGGAGCAGCCACACACAGGCCGAAGCAGCCAGACGCAAAGAGGCCGAAGCAGCCTAAAGTTTTCCGACTGGCCGCAACAGCCACGGAAGCAGAGGCACGGGGTCCTAGCAAACTAAGCTATGTCAGCAAACTGTAAAAGGTGCGGCTGCGGTAGTAAAGCTGTGAGAAGCGCAGCGCGGCACGGGAGCTACCTACTTCTACGGCTGCAGAACATGCCTAAACCCTGCTTGGAAAACTACAACAAACACCTTTTGCGATCTTTTCCTAAAAAACATGCAAGGAAATCCGAGGCGGGTTGGTGCTTTTTGTTTCGCAGATCCTAACGTTTTTTTACATATAGGCCTTGCTTCTACCACCTCACCTAATTAAATTTTGAGTCTTGTAAATTCAATAGTTGGCCCGCAAGGACGTCCCCGAGGCGAGTTGGTGGTTTTCTTTTGCTGCGCTCAACGGAATTTTTTTGACAGGCTTTCCTTAGCTCTAGCTATCGCATCATGATTTTCTATTCGCAGGGACGTCCCCGAGGCGAGTTCGTGCATTGTTTCTTTGATGCGCTCAGCGGAATTTTTTTTGGCCGGCTGGTATTCCTAAGGAGAGGACAATTCGACCTCTCCATTCGCAGCTCAGGGACGTCCCCGACCGTCCTGTGGAGAGGGGCGTGGGGGGACAGAGTCCTTAGGAAATTGTTTGCTCAACGGAATTTCTATTTCGCCCTCTCACCACCCTCTCCTTTCGCAGTTCAGGGACGTCACCGGCCTGCGGGTGGAGAGGTCATTTCGTCTGCTCGGCCAGCCCGGGAGTAGTTCTGAGGAGATCAGCAGCCCTCCAAGACAGCCCTAAACCCCAAAAAATCTAATCCCAAAGTTAAGCATAAATCCTAAACCCTAAAGTCCTTAAAGTTCACGCCGCAAGCCCTAAAACTCTAAACGTTGCAGCCCTACCTAGACCCCTAAACCCGTAACCACTAAGTTATCCTTTACATCCTAAACCCTAGAACTAGCTTTACCTCATACTTGATTTTAAGGCTCAAGTTTATTTCCTAGACACTGCAGCCTTCAGCCCGAAACCATAAGGCGACAATGTTCATGAGATCTAAAGCCCAGACCTTGAAGCGAAGCCCTATAATTTATACCTGGTATGCAAATAAAGAATCCGAAATACTTGTTTTGCAAGCCAGCCACGCGGACCGTGCTCAGACAGCTCCTAAGCTTCAAAAGACCTAAGAAGCACCGTGACATCGCAGCCGATGCAGCTGATAGTCGTGGGCCGAAGCAGCCCAAACACTCAAAAGCTTCTAAGTATTTGGAGCTCAAGCTTGCAGCTTCGTGAAGGCCGAGTCAGCCTTTAAGTTGAGCCCGAGGGATTGTCGGATTGGGTCGCATCTTGACGACGAAGCTCGTCTCGAACTACAGCACAGCCGCGGAGTATCATTTGAGCATCGAAAAGCTGTCCTTGCGCTTGGCCCAGCGTTCGGTCTAAGCTATGTTTCTCTGCTGTCTCGAACCTCGTCAGGGCAGTTATACGACGCAAGAAATCAAGGCTCTGGCATGCCCTGTCAAAATGGAATGCCGCACTGTTCCATTCAGCAGGAGGCATCCAGCGCATAGCTTGAAATGCCCTGCAACTGATATTGCTGGGTGCCGGTTCTATCCGTTGAGGAAGACTTGAGTGCACTACTACGGATGGCGCATCGGACATTTCGTCCTCGTCCAAGCCACCGAGAACCAAAGTGATGCCGTCGGCCAGGTTGACGACGGCATGGCAGGCCTCTGACTCTGCGTCCGTTTGCGCCATCCAAACGTGGTACTGCACCGCCATGTCTCTCAAGTTTGTCAGCTCATCCAGCCAGTCTTGTATATCGTAATCATCCCTAAAGTGTTTTTCTTCGATATCTTCTCTCATTTTACGAGCGAAAACCAATGGTGCCGAAGCAGGCAGCGGCATGAGCCCAGCTTTCCACTGCAGCCAGGCCTGGCCGATGTTGGACGGCCGATTCAGCCGTTAAAGCAACAGATGCTGCCGGCCGTTTCAGCCGTTCGGGCGGCCGATTCAGCCACAAGGCAACGCCGCTACACCTAAGGTTCCCAGCTGTGATCGAAACGGCAGCAGCAGATAGACAAATCTCAAAGTGTCAGTGATCAATGCAAGCTCCAAGACTAGGTTTAGGGTTTTACGAAGCGGACAGTAAATGATTTTGCATTAGAATAATTTAATAATAGTATATCACACACACACAGAGAGCTTAAATTACATGCATCTTATAAACTTACATGACGGCACACTCAACAGTTTTGCAAACTTGACGGCGACAACGTTTGAGAGCACGGGTGCGAAGACAGCGTACCCGGACGGCCGATGCAGCCAAAGCACAGGCCGAGGCAGCCTTGACTTAGAGCCGAAGCAGCTCTGGCGTCTAAGTCTCCTTTTGTCCTTTGGGCACAAACAACAAGCCTCCTGCTTTCATGGCCTGCGTCAGCACTCCTAAGATGAGGGGCACAGGGATGCTGTTACCCAGCATGCCGCCGAGTTGAGCATCGCTGATGCCTTCTTCTTTGTAGCCACGGAGTTCGATGGGGTTGATACCCGTCACTCGCATCAATTCATTGATCGTCATTTTGCGGCCTCGGTTGGACAGCCAGTGGCCGCCACAGCTGCCTCTTGATTTTGTCAAAGTTTTCAATTGGTTCACGCCGTAGGAAGCAAATCGGGGAGAGCAGTCAATGTCCACGGCAACTGGGACCTGTCTGGGATCTAGCTTTTGTTTCTTCCAAACTTGGCCGTAAGCAGCCAACGCAAGGTCTCTAGCCCTTTTCGTCTTCGGCAGCCGCCCGGGCCGGTCGCTTGGCCTCGCTGGGTCCAAGTCATCCTCCAAGTTTCTTTTTCCCAC